GGATTACAGGCTTGAGCCACCGCGCCCGGCACATATTATTTTCATGTAAACAAGGAAACATTATGAAGTGAATGCAGCTAGCGGCAGGTAAGGCATTAAGAAGTGCTGGGAAAATTTGCTTCTTCCACTGTTCCTCTCTTTTCCTTCCTCTGCAGATAAATTTTGCGGTGAGCTTCTTTATATTAGCATGAGGTTAAATATCTGGCTAAAACATAAATATCTTTAAGAATGGGGCATAGTAAAGCATTGGCAGTCATTTATGCTGTTGTTTAATGCGTTTATCAGTCTTTGATGAGAATACGAAAAAGGAAAAGGGAAAATGGGCAAACATGAGAGTCATCTACAAGGGGTGGGAGATGTTCCCAGAAGAGAAAGATGATTTTGATCCACTTCACAGTTTTCCTTGGCTTACACTGAACAGGAGTGATTCAAGTATTTTTTAGTGAACAAAGAGCAGGATTCAGAAAAACTTAAAAGATAGTTTCAGTAGCGACTGTGAGGTGACTATTTACATTCGGAAAAATTCCTTTTCCTTTCGTTTATAAATTTACTTTGTCAGAAAGCAAACGAAATCATTTAAAGCCAGCTTTGAGACATCTCTAGGGCTGTGGCTTTCAAATTTTCTAACCATGACCTGCAGTAGGAAAGGTACTTTACAGTGAGACATAGTGTATCGAACAAATCACACGGGCGCATGCACACACACATGCACAAACACACAGACACATACACAAAACTAAACTGAAGTTTGGGCCGGGTGAGTGGCTCACTTCTGTAATCCTAGCACTTTGGGTGGCCGAGGTGGGTGGATCACCTGAGGTCAGGAGTTCAAGACCAGCCTGGCCATCATGATGAAACCCCATCTTTATTTTAAAAAAATAAAAGAATAAATGAAGTTTGACCAGATAGTACATAATTTACAAGCTATGCACTCTGATATTTTCTATCCTACTTTAATCTAATTTATTTTATGTTTTTTTAAAAAGTTCTGTTCGTGACTCACTAAATTGATTTCAGGGCCCATTAATGAGACATGACCTGCAATTCAGGAAACATTGCTGCTCTAGAGGAAGTTTGTCGGCCATCCATTGGCATTGCCTGCCTGCTACCACTAAGGACACTAACTCTGAAAAAAGCTCTCTTCCTCCTGGCATCCTTGAAACCTACAGCCTGAGTCCCCACCCTATCTTTCTCTAAAGACTGTAATTTTAAAATATCATTTGGGAAGATAAATGCTCTCCTTTATTCAATTTGATTTTAATTATTTTTGTAGAGACAGGGGTCTCACTGTGTTGTCCAGGCTAGTCTCAAACTCCTGGGCTCAAGCAGTCCTCCTGCCGTGACCTCCCAAAGTGCTGGGATTACAGACAGGAGCCATCATGCCTAGTTCATTCATTAAGTAACTGTTCTTTTCCTGGTAACTTCACAGCAAATTACCCATCAAGTGATATACTTATTGGACAGATTTTTCATACCTCTAAAACCCAAAGACAAAAAGTCACATATTTGCTCCTAATTAGGCAATTTTGAAATGACCTCTTGCTCACCCTCTCAGGCAAGTTACATTCTCTATCATGTAGAAAAAAAAAAAAAAAGAGAATACAGATTTTATTTGCTTACTAGTTAAGGGAACAGAAGGGCCAAGAAATTTGGTGAGTTGTTTTGTTTTTCTATACATCTACAAGGTACAAAAAAAGATATTCTGGTTTTCATTCAAAATACTGTAATGGAAAAGAAGAAATTGCAACTCCCCAACTCTCATAGAAACCATGGAAGTTCAGAGCTCGAGGATGAAAGAGAAAGGACTAGAAGACACATATAAGTGAGCTGCTTTGTTTTTTTTTAACACACTTGTAAAGGACAATTCTGGTCTTCATCCAAAATAATGGCTTGAGAAAGATGAAATCAATACTCTGAAACGTGAGCTTTTGCAACAGCAGATATGCATCAAAAGATACTCACTGCCTAGAAATGACAAGGTTTTTCAGAGCCAGAAGGGATGACAGGGATCATTTGACTCCACCTCTTTTTACAGATGAAGAAACTGAGGCAGAAGGGAATGTAATCTGCCCAATGTTATACAGGAACTGAATGGCAGAGCGGGGACTGGTAGATTCAGGTTCAAAGAAGCCATCCTCTTGTACACATCCGCCCCCCAGCATGTGTGTGCTCACACACACACACACACACACACAAACACACACACACACACACACACACACACACACACACGAGACAGTGTGACCTTTGACTCCAAAAAATACAGTCCTTTGCCAGTGAAGCTAAAGCAAATCTCTAGGTTATCAGAAGTCCATCACTACCATCCAATTACCAAATCACTAATAATCAGTGAGACAGATTTTCCCTGAGTCCAGATGACCCCCTGGGAGTGAATGAGTCACTTTAAAAAGCTACAGTAATTCTTTCAGGCCACTGGGGTATCATTCAGTACAGTGGATTCGGCAGTTCTGGGCCTTGGAAGAGTTTCTGAGGCATTCTCCAGTGCCTTACCCTCTGGACAGTTTACTCTCCGGGAGAATCTGGGTCAGAGGGCATGTGGGTTGTGATCTGCAGTTACAGCGGCTAAAGTGGTGATGAATCCTGTGCTCTGCTAGAGGCTGGGCACGGCCAGCATGGGGTTCTTGCTCTGTGCGCTTGTTGAGATAGCAAATGAGAATGCAGGGTGCTCACTTTGGCGGCACATCCAGTAAAATTGGAAACCTACAGAGATTAGCAAGGCCCCTGCACAAAGATAACACACACATTCATGAAACTGTCCATAAAAAAAAGAGAGCACAGGACTGTAATCGGGTGATAGGTGAGCCACTAATTATAAAATTTTCTGATCTTTAAACCAAATCTGTTAAGTGACCTATGCTTTTGACTATTTCCTTGTGTTTTTAGAAATTAAGAGCTAATTCAAGACTTTTGCATTCTGCTGAAAGAGCTGTCCTTGTGAGTCAAGAAGATTTGGCTTTTTTTTTTCAGTGATTTTTTTTTTCACCTGTGTCTTGAATATCTCACAAACACAGGAGCAGTGAGAAAATAATTCCCACTTCGTTAAACAACTAATGAATCTGGAGGATCTATTTGATCTTCTAATGAGACCAGATGTCTTAAGAGAATTCTGGGAATGGATATATAAGAACCTCCCCTCGATGAATGATTCTGATACATGTACGTATTAAAAAAAATCTAAATTAATCCCGACTGAAACTCCCAACTAGCGTTTCTGTGGAAAATAGGTCTCAGAGACTCAGGGAGTTTGTGCCAAAGGAATTTAGTCATGTTGAAGTCGGTTTTTAAGTGTAGCTTGATCTAAAGGGAGGGCGCAATGGGAGGAGCAAACCTTTTTTCTCTAGCCGATGGTGGAAGCTATCTGAGCAGAGTTGTTTATTATTTTTAACATTCTAGAACCTTTTTCCTACATCACTGTTACCTCTTCCAATACAGGCCTGTAATCTCAGACTTTATTGAAGCCGCCCCAATTTTAAGCTATATTCTTTACTAAATTTATTTAGCCCTACTTTTTTTTCTTTAAAAAAATTATTTATTTATTTATTTATTTTTCGAGATGAAGTCTCTCTCTGTTGCCCAGGCTGCAGTGCAGTGGCAAGATCATAGCTCACTGCAACCTTGGCCTTGTGGCCTCAAGCCATCTTCCCACTTTAGCCTCCTGAGCAGCTGGGATCACAGGCACGTGCAACCATGCTGGCTAATTTTTTATTTTTTTGTGGAGATGGGTCCTGTTGCCCAGGCTGGTCTTGAACTCCTGGGTTCAAGCAATCTTCCCACCTTGGCCTCCCAAAGCGCTGGAATTTATAGGCGTAAGCCACCGTGCCTGGCAACTCTATTTTTCTGTGGGAGAGAAAGAGAAACAGAGCATCCTGCTCAGTGTCTACCGCAGCAACTTCCATATGGCTCTCCTTTGCCTTCTCCTGGGAGTTGGGGTTGGGAATCATGGGTCTCGCCCCAGCACCCCTCAGTGTCATGTGGTGTCACACAGCTATAGCAACTGTACTTACCTTTGTTTTCACTTCTCTGGATGCGAAGTGGCTAATCTGGGGAGCACAAGGATGACAGAAAGAAAAGAAACATTAAAGTTTGTTTTCCAATCGAACTTTTCTTTTTTTTTTTTTTTTTTTTGAGACGGAGTTTCACTCATGTTACCCAGGCTGGAGTGCAATGGCGCGATCTCGGCTCACCGCAACCTCCGCCTCCTGGGTTCAGGCAATTCTCCTGCCTCAGCCTCCTGAGTAGCTGGGATTACAGGCACGTGCCACCATGCCCAGCTAATTTTTCATAGTTTTTAGTAGAGACAGGGTTTCACCATGTTGACCAGGATGGTCTCGATCTCTTGACCTCGTGATCCACCCGCCTCGGCCTCCCAAAGTGCTGGGATTACAGGCTTGAGCCACCGCGCCCGGCCCCAATCGAACTTTTCAATGAAAATTTTCCAATCAGAATTTGATCTCAAGGCATATTAAGCCATCTATTGCCAGTTCTCCTACTCATCAAAAAGACGCCAGAATGAAATAAATGTAACCTGCATAGGTTCACAAGGAAATGATAAAGCTGGTTTTTCTTCCACTGAAGGTGGATACGAAAGTGTTACGTCTTTGTGAATTTGGAGAGAATGTGGGAATCAGCAGGTTTGATTCATGGCCTCTAAGATCTCTTCAGGTGTTAAGCATCGCTTTTTGTATCTTTTTGCAAGCAGACCTGAAACAGAAGGCTTGGGTGTGGCTGATAGTGTTGGGTGAGAATTTATGCTATTCCCGCCTGTCTTGCTTATATATGTATATTGCATGTGTGTCTGTTGTAGACTCAGAAAGCCATTATCTTTCTTTTTGTTTTCATCTGAGCTTTCTTTTGCTCACAATTCGCTGAAAGAATCAGCTCTTCTCAGTCAGTGCCTGTTTGTGCTCTGGCCGTTCATGGTGGGCAGTGGAACATGCCTACTTACTGTAGTGATGTGTATTGTTCTTCACAGGGATATCTTGAAAGTCACCTCAAAACTCCAATGCACTAGTTACTTCTACTAAGGTATAATTCACACTCCCTAAAATTTACTCTTTTTAGGGTACAAATAATAGAACAGCTGTTCTTCACTTTAAAACTCTCCCATGTCCCTTTGTAGTAAACTCCTCCCACCACCCCAGTCCCTGCCAATTCTGATCTGTTTTTGTCCTTAGTGTTTTTTTTGTTGTTGTTGGTACTTTTAAAAAGAAGTAAATTTGCTATACTCATTGAGTATACGTTTACAAACTGTAGACTCAGTTTAAACTCCCTGAAGCTTGGTTTCAGCATAGCTGAGCACTAATAGTTTCCATGCAAACATATCCTCCATGGGGCACTGGGATATTTGGTAAGAGAGTAGTGATGATCATAACTTCACACTGGGTCTGCTTGTTCACACGCCTGATGAGCTTCCTGTTCATATTAACCTTTATGGTATCTGCTGGAACCATGGGGAGAACATGAGAATTGTGAGGCACACCCAAGAAACCCATGTTTAACTAGCTGAGCCATCGCCAGGTGTCTGAATCTGAACAGTGAGAGCAGGCCCACACTGCCACTGTGTACCTGACTGCCTCATTCTGTGCCCCTCCAGTTACATGTAGCCTGGTTTTGCAAACCGAGGCTTAAGCCTCTGCAGCCAACAGTAAGCCCTTGTTCCTGTTCTGATGAGGATGGACTGAATTATTTTGTATTCAGTTTCCTACAATGGCCCCCTCTAATGACACACTCACAAAAATAATGAATTTACACGTCTTTGGGCCAATTTATGAAAAACCACTCTCTCTTCAGTAAAAAGTAATACAAATCCTTTAAGACCTGTTGGAAAATGGTACAGACATGAGCATTTTCCTTGCTCTGCTCAAGGTGATTTGGTAAAGGAGAAGAGAAGTAACTTTTCTTGGGTGCCCAACTAAGCACCTGCTCTCGGGCTAGGTGCTTTCAGGCCATTTTCTGGTTGATCTTAAGGACAGTCCTGTGATGTGAGCATAGTGTATGGTCATTTGGTCAGAGAGTGAGAGTAAATGACCATCGCTCCCATATGACATGTCCTCTGGAGAGGATACGTCCATCAGTCATAATGACCCATAGAGATGTCAAGTTAACTGATTTGTAAAACTTTGCTAAATCTTTTATTTTTTGAGACAGGGTCTCACTCTGTCACCCAGGCTGGAGTGCAGTGGAGCGATCTTGGCTCACTGTAGCTTCTGCCCCCAAGGCTCAAGAGATCCTTTAGCTCTCAGTCTCCCAAGTAGCTGGGAGTACAGGCACACACCACATCATACCTGGCTAAAGTTCATATCTTTTTGTGGAGACAGGGTTTTGCCATGTTGCCCAGCCTGGATTGTTTTCTTTTTCTTTCTTTTCTTTTTTTTTTTTTAAGATGGGGTTTCACCATGTTGGTCAGGCTGGTCTTGAACTCCCGACCTCAGGTGATCCACCCGCCTTAGCCTCCAAAGTGCTTGGATTACAGGCGTGAGCCACCACGCCCGGCCATGGATTGTTTTCTTAAGATACTAGCTCTCGCTCAGGCTGGAGTGCAGTGCACATCATAGTTCATTGCAACCTTGAACTCCTAGGTTCAAGTGTTCCTCTCACCTCAGCCTCCCAAGTCAACGCAATTTTTAACTAACCACTCCTTTTCATCGAATAATTTGTTAGCACCAGTAAAATTAACCAAGGCAATTGAATCAGTTTGTGGGGTGGGGAGATGAGTGGAATGAGAGAGACAGGAGAAAGAAACAAAAAATGAGGGGAATAAAAACCTCAGGAGGGAATCTACCCCAAGGCCCAGGGTTACATAAACAGCTGAGGGCTTACAGAACATTCCAGGTCAGCAGAAAACACTTGCATTTTTCCCTTTACTGTAGAATTTGAATAATACAGATGATGATAATAATGGCTACTATTTATTGAGCTATGACTCAGGCCATTACTAAGTGTGTTACAGCTAGGTGCAGTGGCTCACGCCTGTAATCCCAGCACTTTTAGAGTCTGAGGCAGAAGGATCGCTTGAGGGCAGGAGTTCACTGGGAAACACACTGAGACTCTGTCTCTATCAAAAAAAAGAGAAGTGTTTTACATGTGTTATCTCATTTAATTTTGTTTTTTTGAGACGGAGTCGTGCTTTGTCACCCAAGCTGGAGTGCAGTGGCTCAATCTTGGCTCACTGCAACCTCTGCCTCCCAGGTTCGATTGATTCTCCTGCCTCAGCCTCCTGAGTAGCTGGGATTACAGGCATGCACCACCATGTCCAGCTAATTTTTGTGTTTTTTAGTAGAGACGAGGTTTCACCATGTTGGTCAGGATGGTCTCAAACCCCTGACCTCGTGATCCACCCGCCCTGGCCTCCCAAAGTGCTGGGATTACAGGCATGAGCCATCGCACCTGGCCTTTTTTTTCTTTTTGAGATGGAGTCTTGCTCTGTTGCCCAAGCCGGAATGCAGTGGCATGATCTCAGCTCACTGTAACCTCTGTCTCATGAGGCCAAGCAATTCTCCTGCCTCAGCCTCCTGAGTAGCTGGGATTACAGGTACCTGCCACCACGCCCAGCTAATTTTTGATTTTTGGTAGAGATGGGGTTTCACCACGTTGGCCAGGCTGGTCTTGAACCCCTGACCTCAAGTGATTCACTCACCTCAGCCTCCCAAAGTCCTGGGATTACAGGCATGAGCCACTGCACTTGGCTCTCATTTAATGTTACCTGATACTTGTGCAACAGACAGTAGTATTACCATTGTGCAGATGGTAAGACCAAGGGACATTTA